CTCTTTGAGTCTGCCTGAGACTCAGGTTCTTTTTTTGGGCTAAATTGACAATCCTTGATTTCTTACCCAATTTCAAATACATATTGTTAACATTCAGGCTATGAGTCCCAGAGAGTTATTAAAGGATTTACAAGAGTGCAGGAGCTTTGCAGTCTGTCCAGGGCAGGCAGGATCCTGGCTGGGGGCCGGGGAACGTCTCGAGTTCTCAGCAGGCAGCTGATTTTCTCCAGGAAAAAAATGTTCTGAGCTTTGAAGGGTAAAACAATTAAGACGAATGCATTTAATTCAAAGGAAAAAATAATTATGTTTATTCCAAGAAAGGTAGGCTGGTTTGTTTGTTTTTTCCTATTAGCAAGAGTAATGGTGGTAAAAACTCCCAAGGGTGTGTGAACCACCCAGTGCCCCACCAGTACAGACTTATGAAACACTGTAGCTTTTGTTTCCCTTTGACTTAGTCTTCTGGAATATCTGAAAATTTCAGCATACCAAACTCTTGCTTTAAATAATTCATGTGTTCTTGATACAAGAGAAACAAAAATGTTTTTCTAGCTTCAGTTTATTCTAAACTGGACTTAAAGACTGAAGGAAAAAAATGTGTCCAAAAAACTCATTACCTGCCTCTGTCAAAAAGCAAAAGCATCATAGACAAGAACTTAGCTTTGCTGAATGTTTATATTATAATTTTAAGAAATGTCAGTAGGAGACTTAACGGGAATTCATGTTTGACCACAAAAATCGGTATGTGTGCTTTGAAGTTAGCTATTGGAAAAAATCTGTGGTAGGCACAGGTTTTAATTTAAAATTATGGAGATATTTCTTAAACATATTCAGAATTCATGAATAAAATGTGAATTATTTTTCTGGTACAGTGATGTGCTTAGAAGAATGTAGCTGAAGGAATTAGTCATAAAGTTTTACCTTGTGGTGTGCAAGTGATGCAGTAAGAAAGCAAGCTGACGACTTCAAACCAGAATACATGTAAAATAATATAAAAGTATTAACAAAGCAATAGGAAGGTTAGTTTTGAAGGTGGAGCCCAATCCTGAGCATTGCTGTAGTCAAATTCCCATGTATTATCTTTCAAAACGAATATGCAAAGTGCTTCCCCTATTGATTTTAAGGCAGTTAAGATAGTTTTGTTTTTGGTTTTTTTTCTTGAGGTTTTGTTTTTGTTTTTACCATTATAGTCTCGGATAAAACCTATACTACTTTTGAAAAGCCTCGTTATCCTGATGTCCTCTCCAAGGTATTCCTGCCACTAGAGAACGTGATGCTATTCTGGGATGAATAACAATGATTCTTCAGCCAGTGAAAACAGAAAAGAAAACAATAAGCAAAAGCAATGTAGAAAAAAAGGGGGTCAATGAGACTTGATAAGGACTCTATCACAGCATTTTTCACAGAAATGTGGTAGAACAGAGCCAGAAGCATTGGCTCAGACCTAAGAGTCGTGCCTCTTCCATGTAATGTTTTTCTTTCTCTTTGTGCTAAGGTAAGAGGTGAAGGTCCATCATGGTTAATGCCAGACTTGATGATGGCTGAATTTAGGCAACATCAAAACAAGGGGTGATGCTATTCTGGTCTGAGAGATTAGCTCTTCCTTCCTCTATTTCCCAGGTATGGTGATCTGGTTGCACCCAGCAGCAGCTGTCGGTGGCAGCGAGAACAAGGACTACCAACTTCTTTCTGGGCACCGTTAGGGACAAGGTGATATACAGAGCAATGCCAACGTCTTTGACCCATCTAAACTAGGAATTTGGGGCCTATAAAATAAGGCAGCGCTCCTTCCCATGTCACTGCTTTTTCTACACATCTCTCCTACATGTGTACCCAGTTATTTCAGGTATTGCATTTCCATAAGTGTACCTGGAAAATGCTTTTTTAGGTGTGTTTGTGATTTTCCTTTTCTTATCCTAGTTCTGTATTGGAACAAAAATAGTAATGGTTCTTTTCATGAGTCACTTCAAGTAATAGATAGGTGAATGGGCCACGTTTTAAAAGAAAGCGTAATTCCTTCTAATAGCGAAGATGGAGTTTGGTGCCTGAGATTCATTTTTATCACTATAGTCCTAACTCAAAAAACTTAGTTTCTCAATATCGTAGAATAATTTTACTTCTGCATGTAGGACATGTACATTTTTAAGTACTGACAGGTGCGTGGGGGGAGGATTATTGAGAAATCTGTTAAACATTGAAGTTAGTATGTACCAAATATGCAGAATTTACTTTGTGTGGAAAGCATTTTGCTCAGTCTGTCTCCGTGTATGTTTGAAAACTGCTCCTTTAGAGCAAGCAAATGAATTTTGAAGTCTCCCTTTCTCAGACCTTCCTGACAAAACCAATTTTTCTCATGAGGATAATTTAACTGAAAGTAAAATGTATTTGGTGACTAGTATAATTTCGGAACCACGTGCTTTGCAGTACCTTAGTAGCCAAACAACATACATTTTATTTTTAATAGTAAAACTGATGAACAAACAAGTGATAATTCTGCCTGCTGATTCTTTAACTCTGTGCTCTGATGCAACATCATTCATGGAAGAAAATGTTATTGCAAATACATGTGTGAAATGCAAGACAGATTGACCCTACTGACTATTTAAGAATTCAGTCCTGGGCAGTTCTAAAATTAGAAATTTTTAATTCAGAAATCTTATCTTGCAGTTAGGTTGCTTTGTGGTTTTTTGCTGGTTGGTTTTTGTTTTATGATCTAGAGTTGAGGCATCTCCCTGCCCATGTTCCTTCAGCAAGCCCAACTAGCGCATGCCAGGAACACCAAGATCATTCATATCTATGGCAAGAGTGGTAGCGCTGCCTTCACCAAAACCTCCGAGAGCTCAGACCTGGGAAACCAAGGCTGAGCGTCCTGCTGTCTGACCATGTCTTCACGTCTGGGCATGAACTTTCTGCTCATCCTGCCAAAGTCTTATTGTGGCATGATCAGGAGTGCCAAATAGAAAAGCTGCAGTGCCACAAAGTTAGAGTCTCCTTCACTGTGGAAAGGTGATCTGAAAAAATGGTTAATTTTGTTCACAGCTTTAAAGTTAAAGCTGTGCTTTGAAAAAAGTACTCTCAAGTATTTTGAAACTTTCTAGAGACTTTTTTTTAGACCAGCTAAGCTAGGAAAATAAATGGTCCAGTGACTACTTGCTAATTCATCTGCGTGTGCAGCTGCAAAATTATTTTCTGTGCACATAGTGCAAAACTTCTTCCTAAATATGAGGTTTAGAGACCCTTTGGGAGTAATTAACTATAATGCAGAAGCAAATCTGGGTTTATTGTATGCACTGCTCATTTAAGAAATATTTTTGTGCACAAAGCCCATTAGTAAGTTTCCAAAACCTCCATGAATGTTAAACATTTTATTATAGGACTCGAAGTGCTTCTTATTTTACATAAATTCTAATGTAAACCCATGAATTACATTTAGCTTTTGATCCCTGGATAGCATCTTGCTGTGTCACATGTGTGCCACAGTGTATTCAAGGGCTAAAATCTGACTCTTATTTAGTTGTTTATTTAACAGAGATAGAACAGCTCGTTTTCTGTGGACTACACAAAAAGTTGAGAATATACTCAACATAAGCTGCATGCTATTGATTTTATTCTACATACTGGTCAACTTCCACATGGTGTGTGGGGTTGTATTGTTGTTCTACTAACTGCTCTCCTTCTGTGCTTTTAGTCCTATGCTGTTCATGGGTGTTAGGATCCTGACTCGAATCCAATGGAAATGAAAAGCAAAGCTGGTGTTTTCATCAGTTGTACAGGATTGGCAGTCAAAATGATTGAGTTCCTGAGGATGTGATTTAGCCAGGGAATACATGCTCCTAGCCTCAGTGGGTGTAGGCATGTAGGTATGTTTAATCTGCTGAATTAGGTCAATGCATAAAGCTAATGGACTCCTTCAGAGGCAGCAGCATGATGCTTTCTGGCCTGTATTACATGGGCAGTCAGGGGACGTCCTCTGACTTGCTCTCTCTGTCAGCTTCTGTGATGAAGCATAAATCATGTGAGATACTCTGAGGAAATCTACCCTACTGACTGTGTGTGTGATGAGGGTGCTGATACTTGCACATGCTGGGCAGTAGCCCTGGACAGCTACAGGTGGGACTGGGCTTACTGGTGATCAGCACGGAAGCACAGTGGCACAAAAACAGATGAAGAAGAGCAGAAATAACTGCTCAGCTTTTATGAAAGTTTGTCCCTTCCCTTAACTATTTGTTATCTGTTTGATTGGAAAGATTGGCAGCATAGCATCGTATAACGTTACCTAATATATTTTGTGTCTTATCCGCCTTTTATTTCCCAATAAAAACCAAACTACAGTATTCTCTGTTACAGGAGAGTTAATTATTAACATCTAAGGGTTTTTACAGCACAGCAAAGCTTTATCTCAGAATGTGCAAAATATCCAGACGCATCCATTTAAGGTGATGGTTTACACTGTTGCTTTGGCTGTGCGATCTGGATTGGTTGAATTTCGTGCAATGACGATTTTACACAGTGGCAGAGTATCTGTGAAGTGGCTATCAATTGAAACATATTTTGCTCTTCAGACTTGCTTTTACAGGTTTCACAAAACATTTAATTAGTGATAATCAGCTTTTAACCAGCCAGAGCACACTGATGTGATTCTCTCCCTCTCACCCCCGTAATTGTAGGCATAGTCTGTACCCGTAAGATAAATTACTTGCAGTCTGGAGAACATCCTAGCCAGCAGGAAGGGAGAGAATAAGAATGTCATTTGCATGGGGATAAAGAAGCTGTTGTGTATACTGTGATTTCAGTGAAGAATATAGTTTTTCTTTCCTTTTCAGGATGGTGGGCCTGGAAACCAGCTGGAGATTGCAACGTCTCCTTTCCCTTGACGTTGCTGGTCAGTGGTCATCTTCCACCACACCCAAGGAAACTAGAAATGCTCCACGCTAGCTTCTCTGAGGTTTATTTCACTATGGAAGATCAAATGATTTTCTGGCTCAGGTTTTGTGAAGTTCGGCATCTACCTTGGACCCACAATTTGGAAAAGGGATCGTCTCTGAGGCACAGTTAAGAGACAGAAAAACCAGTCCTGGACGATGAGCACTTTAAGTAGCACTGGAATATTACTCAGCTTAACAACAGTGTCCGTTACGCTGGATTTTAGTTTGCATGGTGGTCTGATGGCTTGGTCCTTAAGCAGCAATTTGACTCTGAATCAGAGTTTGCCTACATCTGATCCTCTTAATGCCTCTGAGAAGGGCGAAGTCTCTCGGATGTCTGTGAGGGAGAAGAACTGGCCAGCCCTCCTGATCTTGGTTGTCATCCTGCTGACTATTGGGGGGAACATATTGGTAATTATGGCTGTGTCCTTGGAGAAGAAGTTGCAGAATGCCACTAACTTCTTCCTGATGTCCTTGGCGGTGGCAGACATGCTGGTGGGTATCCTGGTCATGCCCGTGTCACTCATTACAGTCCTGTACGGTAAGTAGCTTCCCTCCTTCTTTGACTATATGCTTTCATAGGGAATCCGCCAAGACAGCAGTGATCTGCCCAATTATTTATGTGTTGGTAGCTTGGGCAATATCATTGTGGACTTGGCCATGGGTCTGTGCTGAGGTTCACGCTCTTGCTGGGTGACGGTGATGCTCTGCTGGGAGTAGAGCTTGTTTCCATGCTACTGGGAATGACCCATGAATGGTGTTGGCATGGTTTTTTTTGTTGTTGCTGAGGCCATCCAGAGACAGCTTTTAATTGGACTGCCCCAAAACTATCTAGGACACAAGAGCTTAGCGAAAAGCTGAGGAGTGTGTTTGTGACTGACCCCGCTCTAAGCCAGGTCAGAATCAGTCCTTGAGCTCCCACCGATATCAGTGGGATTTGAGCAATAATGTGGTTAAGAAAAGAGGTTTGCATTGGTAGATTTAGCATTCAAATAAAAGACTTCACTCTTGGCATTTATACTTGAGCTTGCCTTGTGCCTTTCAGGGGGTCATTTTGGTTTTCTGGCTTTCTGTGTCTGTTTCCCTATCTCTAACCTGAGGAAATACCCTCTGTTTTAAAACACTTTGAGATCTGCATTTATAGGTGTAATCATCTGTTGCTCCTCTAACATATTAGGGTTGCGGTGTTTGTGCTGAAGTGGGACATTGCTCACGTGTAGCATGACCGCACTCGTGTGTAGAATCACTGTTAGCACTTCAAATGAGTAAAATGTCAAACACATCCAACTTTCTCGTCTGTCTGGGACTCTGAATCTGATTTTTCTCAGTATGCTGCTAGTACTCTGCGTTCCTGGATATTAGAAAGGAGCAATGCGTTCGCCTCTGAATCTCTGATCATCATGTTTGTGTACTCACGTATCAATATAATGTGTGTGTGTTTAATAGACAATGCTAAATCATTTTTGAAGTCTGTTTTCAGACTTTCTTTGAAAAGTATTCTAGTATTGATATTTCTTGGAAACAAATAATGCTGTTTACTTACAGATTTGATTAGAAATTGGTTTACTGTCCTATAAAGTAAAATATAGGGATATTTATGTGACTTTTTCCCTTGCCTAAATGATGAAGTCAGACAGAGATTAATTTCTAAAACACATTGATCAAGCATACATAACTCCATAGCTTATATAACTTGTCTACAGTGAGTTAAATCAATATGTGATTTAGGTACAGACCTAACCATTGAGATCTTATGCATAAAGCTTTTTATTCTGGGCTGTCAGAATAGTTCTATCTCTAAATCTTCTGTGTATTACAACATGTGTATTTTATTTTTAACATTTTACTCTGGTTCCCTGGAGCTTGAAAGGTAGCATATAAATACTGAATGATTTGATTGACCTGCACTTGCATAAATTCTGGGTTACTCAGTGACTCTAAAAAGGTGAATTTATGGAAGTGATCTTCCTACATACATACTTTCTGAGTCTTTGGAAACTAATGGAAATGAATTTTTGGTTCTGCTTAGAAAATGATTACTTAAGGTCATTTAAAGGTGTAAACCATGCTGCATATTTAGAGGCAAGTAAATATCATTGATCTGAAGAGGAATTGTAATTATTCTTCTTTTCTACGAGAGCACCAGTATTAGCTGTTGACGGCCCAAACGCTTCTCCACAGGCAAACAGCACTAAATGGATTTTTTTATTTTTTTTTTTTTTTTTTTTGCAAAAGTTATAATTTCATAACAGGCATGGAAAATTTATGGAATTACTGTGAGAAATGAGAAGAGCTGCTGTTGTTTCGGGGGAGCCAGGAGGCCGCTGGAGCCGTGCTGGGTACTGGTACTCCTCCCTTGGGCCAGCTCAGTAGCCCTTGCTGGGCTGGACCAAAGCAGGCTTGTTGCCTTCAGGCTTTGTGAGGGGCAGAGGAAAAGCTCCACTTGAGAAAAATGGAGCCACAGAGGAACTTGTGGACTGGTTTGAATGGGACCCCTATGAAATACTCTTCTATATTATTTAAGATACTGGTTGTGGAAGTAAGCAGCCAGGGCTGTGCCACTCCAGCAGCAAGGGGAAAGGGCTTCCAGAGGGAGTAGAGAAAGTCTGTCCCCTCTCCCAAGTGATTACTTGCTCAGGTATTCAGCACTGAAAATAAATACTTGGTTTGATACCCAGAAGCTGAAGGGCATGGACTGACTGGGTATGTCTGAAAAGACCAAAGCTGAAATATTGAGTTTGTGTCAAGGTTATTGCTCCTCTTTAAATCCACCATAACATGTGAATGTCTTTTTCTGGGCATCTAGAAAAAAAATCATTTACGATATAATACTAACAGGGCACATCAACCTCAGCATTTGATGGTTCAAGTAAATAAAACATGCATACAAGAGCACAGAGGAAAAGCAGGTTAAACCTGTCACTTCTTGCTACCTATATCTTGGATCAAATACAGCTGTGTCTTCCTCAGCTTCACATGTGCTAGAGTCATCAAGCTTTTCAGTCCTGTGCCTATTTTTAGCTTTGGCAGGGAGGTGAGGCAGGTATCTTGTATATTATACTCAGCTTGGTGGACCAGTTCTTACGGCAACATGAGACAGCAGCTGGAGATCCATCACTTATTCCTGAGTCTGTTTTATCTGGTGTCATAAGTAACATCTCTGCACCATTGCACACACAGGTTTTGAGGACAAAATCTGGCCTCTTGTGTAACATGGAGTTTCTTGGTTTAGTTTCCTTTGAGCTGTAGTTTTTGGAAAAATGGTTCTTCTTGCAGCAGCCTGCAAGCACTCTGGATGCCACAGTGGCCAGTAGGACAGTGGACTTAATCTTGTTTTCTAAGAGCTAGAGGTCAGGAAATCCAGACATATAGAGGTACTTTAGTAGGTTTTATGTTCTGTTTGATGTTGTAGCACACAAACCAGTACCAGTGATTAAGGGGACAAATATTCACACATCAGCAGAATTCCTCTGAGAGTAGCTGGGGTTCATGGCCATGGACCAATCAGCGAGAGCGTTACTGCTTGGAGACGTAATTGTGAGTGTTCAGTCATTGTTACTCTGAATATTTTACCCTGCGTGTTCTAGATAGTCTACATATTACGACACTGGGCAGTGTCAAAAGCTGCCATATGCTGTACGGAGAAATGTATGCAGCACATCTCTTCCAGATTTGTAGAAGTGACTTTTAATTTATTTCATCAGAAATGAACCTTAAGAAATACTTACAATAGGTAGAAGGGTGATGAAGTTGCTTTGAAGTTTCCACATCAGCACTCTCAGCCCCGATGATAAATTCTAGTTTGTAAAGTACGTTCATTTCCTTACTTTTCAGCTAATGAGGTAGATTAAGTAGATTTCACTTCAAGCATAACCAGAACATTAAATAGACACCCTCCACAAAGACTTCTGGTTTTCAGTGGTTTTCCTTTCTTAATTAAAAGAAGGAAAAATCAAGTTGTCAGTTAATTCAAGAATGTTATTACAAAGGAAGGGGTGGCAGGATGTATCATGCTGGATTTCTCACCAGTTAGTCAGTTCTCTGATATGTTTATCAATTAGTCCTTAAATGTCTTGGACTAATCGAAGAGTTGCATTTGACAACTTAGAATGTTTTCCATGGCATGCAGTTCCTAAAGAACTAAGCAAATTAGTATGCTAATTAATAAGCATGTACCGGGGAGAGTAAATGAGAAATTAACACCATGTTTAATCTGATTAAACTTCAGAAACTTCTGATTAATTTAAAAATCCTGGTGTGATAGGGCATCAGGTATTCAGCACAGAATAGTGCTTCTGATAATGCATGGAGACTGTCTCCTCACCTCAGAGCATTTTAGGGACAAGCAGTGGTGGGTTTGCATCATGTCTAGTGTTTATAGGCAAGCAAGAGAGGGCTGCGCTTTGTCTACTAGCACTAGTGAAGGAATGCAAGAGAATCTCATCAGCTGATCTGAGTGGAAATTACTGACGGTATTAAACTTTCTCCCTTCTGATGAAACGGGTTCACAGCTGCTAACAAGTTGCCAGAGTGTGGCTGACAAGGGGCCAGCATGCTCATCTGCGACTCCAGGTGTCCAGGCTTCTCTCTTCTCTTGGAGTTTCAAAACACACTATAATGCTGGCAGCTTCCAGGGAGGCTGGTATTAGATTCAGCATCCATTAGTCCCAACTGCTGGAGCATCTTTACATCCAGATTATTGTTATTATTGATAATTATCATCGTTATTATGTAGTGACAGAGATGTGCTGAGCACTTGTGGCAGACTTCGCTGTTTATTCCCCCTGAGAGGGAAGGGGGGGAGTAGAAAGAGCTGTCAGTCAAACGGCCTGTTCTGCAGGCTCGTTTTGCCTGGCTCTGCTTTGCCTTTCTAGGGTGGCACTTGCTATCAGCAGTGAACATTTTGCAGAGAGACCTGATCAGGCAAGGCAAGGACAAGGTGTTGCCTGCTAAGTTCCTGGGTGCAGTCAATAGCCAAAAGGACAGAGGGAGGGTGCCTGGGATGTTTGTAATGCAGATCTCCTCAGCAGTGCCAGGGCATGCTGCACGCCTTGATGATGCTACGTATTTTCTGAAGCTGCAGCAAGGAGCAACGTGCTCCTTCAACAGCTGGGGTCGTCTGCTCTGTCATATTTTTTTTTTTAATAATTTTATAAAGTTTAATTAGTTCCTTGCTGATTTCTAGTAATGACTCTCAAGGTACAGGTTAGTTTTTGCTGCTGCCAACCAGCTACAGGCACCTGCACCTACATGCTGTGTGGGAAGGATACAAGGAGTTAAATACAGCTGCTGTTTTGGCTCTTCCTTCTCAAAAAAAACCAAAAACAAACAACAACAACAACAAAAAAAAACACAAAAAGAAGAAAAAGATGAAATAAGAAGTGTGGGTCAGTGTCAGTCTACCTGGATTAATTAACAGTCTTCCCCTTCTAACTAACTCCTGGCTTAGTTTTTACCTGGTTGTTATCTAATCTAGTCACTGGCTTATGACTGACATAGCGAACTGATGAGATCACCCTGCATTATTTAATGCAACAAGTT